CTAAAAGAGGCTCAGCTACATACTGGAAAGCAAATATTAATACTGAGTCCCTACAATTTTGTACATTTGACTTGTGTTCCATTTCAGTCCTCTGGGACTACTGCCATTTTGGACAAAATATTCTGACTGAAAAGCTGTGAACCATTATCACATTAGAGCCAACTGACAGAACTTGCTTTCTGGCTATGAAGACCATCTCCTACACTTAATATGGAATCCGAAGCAATTGCTTTCCTTCAAGTGCCTGGGGGAAACGCAGGAATCCGAGCTAACTTCTTAGTCTTAAATAAACACAAAATAATGGACTATAATTACCACTGCCAAGATCTACTTAGCACCCTCTGTTGTTAAAGCAGAACACGCGCTTCTTCACATTTAAGGTGCATCAGTTGATCATAGCCTTGTTTTCACTATGGGTAGGATTTAGTTAAAATGCAACAAATTCACCCATATAACTAATGGAAAACTTTATAAACGGAAGAAGTGTTCAGCTTTACTCATCTCAATTTGTCCTTAAATTATGCAAACCATAAGGGGAAAAACTTCCAGAGAAGCTACAAATCTTACTTTGAGTACTGTCTGTAAAAGCTTAGCCAGTTTTGTTAATGTCCTTTAGCAACCTTTCCATAAGGGGCATATTACTGTCCTTACATTTAATGCAAGTATCACCACGTTGGTGACAGTTGGAAGTCTGGAAATACTGGATAGTTTATTTTCCATGACAGTTCTGTGAAACTCATTGTAATGGCAGTTACTTAGAAGCCAAATTATGGTTAAATGCTTAAAAACAGACAAAACTCCAGAATGCCTGCGTTCATCTGCCAGACTAAATCCAACTCTCTCACTTCAACTGTTTCTCTAGGTACTTTAACATTAAAATAGGTGTACTTAAGTACAACTTAGTTACTATTTCAGTATATAGAACATCCTCCATTAGTACTGCTAGTGTAAGCTGGAACACTGCTAGCATAATAATACAACAGTATTAAACAGAAAATGTAAAAGCTATCCCCACTTCCTCATTTAAGAAAACACCAGTAAAATACCAAATTACTCATCACACCTCTTCAGTCACCAGCTCTTCTGGGAGTAACTGTGTACACACAGAGAGAAACACTTGCAAGGTTCAGGGTTTTTTTATTCATTTGGGGAGATGGTGATGTAAAAGGTTTTTTTTAAATTTGTTGTGGTTTTTGTTTTTAATTTAAATTGGGTATCCTTATAGCATTAAGAGGACAATACAGCTTTTATCCAGCAGGTAATGCCGAGTTCCTACAAGGTTAAAAGTTCCTTTTATGTATGTATTAACCTGCCACAAGCCTGTGCTGGAGCTCCCCTGTATCTCAGGGGTACTAGGTACTTCTGCTTTCAGGTTCAGCACTCAGTACAGTTCTAGAATGACCACCTCTTAAACCAAGACTATAATAGTAAATTCAGCTACAATTCTTACTACCAAATATTAGTGCAGAGAACATTCTAGCACCCAGTTAGCCTAGGTCACTCTTTATTTAGCACGGTCTCCTTGAAAAGATTTAGGAGAGGCACATAAACCCGTCGCTTTGTTTACTGAAAGACACCGACTTTGTACCGGGGGCTCCCTGCAAAAGGCCACGCAGACGGCACCGACAGCGGGTCCCGGCAGTACGCGCGCTGCAGCCAGCTTACCTCTTTTTCTAGTTTTAAAACGCTGGCCTGATAGCGTCGGCTTCTGCGGCTTTTGATTATTCATAAAAGACACCCTGCAAGGAAACAAAATCGCACCTCAGGGCGCTGGCGGCAGCTCCCCGCCCGCCCTGCGCTGC